GGACCGGAATACTAGTGAACGTCCCGAGCGAGTCACTGCACTCATAGCGATGAATCTTGTGCCCTACGAGATCCATACTGCTGCACTAAGCGAGACCCGGCTCGCTGACCAAAGCAAGCTGCATGTGCGGGGTTATGGTTACAAGTTCTACTGGGCGGGGAACTCTACCTCAGCACCACGCGAACAAGGAGTCGGATTTCCACTATCCGAACGCCTAAATGAGCAGCTAGTGGCAGAGCCGGCTGGCGCCAGCCCACGACTGATGACTCTCTGTCTGCGACTTCGAAGAGCTAGCTTTGCAACATTGCTTAACACGTATGGTCCCCATGTGTTACCTCGATGACACAAGTGATCAGTTTTACGCTCAGGTATCCTCACTGATAAGGTCTGTACAAAGAGGCGACTAGCTATTCCTAATGGGTGACTTCAACGAGCGCGTTAGACATAATGGTTCAGTGTGTACAGATGTCATCGGTCCATATGCTATTGGCACATCCAATGGGAACGGTGACATGTTGCTCTCGGTGCGCCACTCACGGCCTGACGTTCACGAACACAAAGTTCGCCCTGTGTATGAGTAAGACAAAATGTTTTATTCTTGGCAGCGCCAGGCAGGCCTTTACAGGTATGAACGTGTTATGATAACTAAATGTGAACAATAATGTACAATAATACAACATGCTTGTCATAACAGTAACTGTGTGTATGGATGTGTGTGTAACTGTACCTAGATGTAGCTTCATAGCTTGTGTTTGCAAGTGTGCTGTTGTATTTGTGACTGTTTGCCGATGTTGGTTATGTAAGGAAAGACTATTGACGTCCGTGGATTAGATGTAATTATCTAGATATCCACAGAGCAGTGACCTTAGTCTGTGGCGAGTCATATTCGCCACGTCACAATGTTCATAAACTGATATTTATGGATTTTTTAAGAGGGAACGCGTTCCAGGCGAAAACCCACCACGTCCTGGAACACTGCCGCTGAACTATTTGTTGAAATGGGTTATACTCGAACCACCCAGCTAGGATCACGAAGAAGTTGTTCGGCTAGCCAGCCTTGGATGCACCCACGGGGTGGCCACAATCATGGACTCGATATGTCATCGTAAGCCAGCGTGACGCATAAAAGGCGCATAGCACGTGTACTGTGTAGAGCTGAGTGCGGAACTGATCACAAGCTGGTGCGGACCAAATTGTAGATCTAGTTTCGTAAACCTATGTAAATAAAATAAATGCTCAGCTTTACCCCATAATAGCGCTTCGCTGACACGCTACCACCAGTAGCGCGTTGGCTGAGTATAACGAGAGGACACCTAACCTTACGCGGATTCTATGTATAGTACTTCTGCCGTGAACCCGCAGAAATATAAAGTTCTCCCTAGGCACCGCTAAATAGAGGATGAACTGGAGAAGGCAACGGCTACCTGACTTGGCGATGTCGAATCCATAGCCTCAGTGAAGGACCTGTGGCACCGCATCCGCGAACAGGTGACTGCTGCTGCCGAAAAAACGAACGAGCGCACAAACTGTGAACGGCCCGACTTGCTTGATGACGACAGTGCAACCACTGACATTTTGGTGTCGGCACACGTGGATGACCCTGACTACTGCGAGAAGACGAGTCATTTCCGCGAACTTCGACGGTGATTAACTCGAGAGCTCCGTCGCATCAAGAATGCATTGTGGACGGAGAGGGCGAAGCAGCTGGAATGTTACGCCGAACACCACCAACACAAGGAGTCCTATGATTCCTTGAACGCAGTGTATGGAGCTACATGGCAGCCGCTGAAAATGCTGCTCAATGATACTTCAGGTGCTTCCTGCATGCAGACTGCAAACATAGTGCAGATCTGGTTAAAGCACTTCGGTTATCGCTTAAACAACCGTTTGGAGGCTGACTGGACTGTGTTGCCCGGACTGCAACAACAAGGGATGATGTGCCTTGCCAACACACCAACATTGCATGAGACGCAGAAAGTACTTGCGCAGTTGCGAAACGGCAAGTGCACCGGTTCTTACGGGATCCCGCCTGATCTATTGAAACAAGGTGTACCTGCGTTGGTAAATGTGCTACACCACTTGGTGCAACGCATGTGGATTGAAGAGGAAGTGCGGGCCGAGCTGAAGGATGCGGTTGTACTGCCGCCATAAAAAGACAAGGGGAGCAAGCAATGTTGCACGAATTATTGTGGCCTCAAATTGCTGAGTTGTGTTAAGAAGGTAATAGCGCGAATCCTGCACAACCGCCTCGTCAGACAGGTCGTTGAACCGAACGTGGCGGAAGAGCAAAGTGGATGCAGTTCGGGCCGTAGCACCATAAATATGGTGTTCGAGGCTCGTCTGTTGGAGAAGTGCCATGAGTGACACCGGCCATTGTACTTACTCTTTGTTGTGCGGTGGGTAGGTTTTATTTTCCGAGTAACTTTGTAAGTTTAACTGAATGTTTGCGCAGTGGTTTGCGGGCGATGATGCAGATGTGTGTACAAGCCCCGGATGAATTTACTGTTATCTCTGGTGTGAAGCAAGGCTGTGTCATAGCTCCTGGCCTGTTTAATATGTACCTTCATACAATGATGTCTTGCGCCTTTCCTACTGCTCGTGATTACTGTGTCCGTGCGGAACACCATGTTGATGGTGCGTTGCTGAACATCCGTCGTTTTTGGGCGAGAACCCTAGTGTGTAAGGCAACGTCCATATATTGATGTTTGCGGACGACGGTGTGTTGTGTGAGTACAGCGCGGAGGAGTTGCAACACATGACTTCGGCTCTCACTTCGACGGCGGCCAAATTTGGGCCCACTAACAAAGGAAGCTAGACTTTTTGTCTTTTTTAGCCTACACCGGAAATGGGATCTGTATAATACTGCAAATCCATCTCAGTGATGACGCCATGAAAACATTTTGAGATCCTGCTACCTGGATAGTGTACTTTCAGTCGATCTGTAGGTGATGAGTGAGCTAGGTGTTTGCGTATCGAAGAAGGCTGCTGCGTTTGGAAAATTTAAAAGTGTGTGTGGAGCCTCCACCACCTTACCGCTGAAACGAAGCTGATTGTATACAAACCTATGATGCTGTTAGTTCTTTTATATGGAAGCGAAACATGGTTAACATCCCCAAAGGACGTCAGATATCTGGGGCGATTTCAGCTACAGTGCCTGCGACGGAATTTATGCATCGGCTGGTGCGACAGAGTTGCAGACACGGAGGTGCTACGCCGCAGTGGTACGTATGTAGTAGACTGCATACTTTTGGCGCGGCATCTGAGATGCCTAGGGCATATCAGCCACATGGATTCAACGCGGAAGCCCAAGCAACTCTTATATAGACAACTTAGTGCCGGGAAGCGGCAAGTTGGAAAGCCGAAGTCACGTTACCAGGACATGATTAGGGTGAGTTTATCACGAACATATGTTGATTCCAAGTGTCAAGAATCAAAGGCAGTTCGTCTTTCTGAATGGCGTGAGCTGAACCAGCATAACTCATTTTTATATGTGGAAGAGAAACGCGGTGTACGCAAACGACAGGCGCCGATGGAGTCCACGCAATCGAAGTCAAGCGCATGTCGCTGTAGCACATGCGGTCGAGAATGCCTGTGTCAACCGGACCTGATAAGCAACCAGCGTTGTCACCTGGGTAGCAGAATACAAAGTCCGACGATGCAAGTGTTTATCTAAGCATAATCAGCGCAGCAATTGGTAGGTGCACTGCGTCCGTTTCCATACGATTTACTAACCCAGACCACCCAGGCGGTTGATGTGGTACGTGTGCTACATCGTTGTTGGTTAATCTTTACATGTTCCCGCGCGTTGAGTTTCTTGCATTTCAGTGGTTGCTTGTTGAGTTATATCCTCGATGTGGCTTTGCTTGATTCGAACCTTGACAAGGTGCCTACCTATCGATTACCTAACATCTTGTTTATACTGGCTCGATGAGACAGTTAGTCGTTGCTGTAGAGCACGAGGTCCACGGCCCTCTTAGCGGTGCTAAGGTCAAACTGTGGATCCATACGTCCAATGCGGAGCGGATTAGGGCCCATCCACCGCTTTGTGTACGTTTGGTACGCATGATTACCCAAGTAAGTCTGAATGCTTCCACTCTTCTTGTTAAAAAGTGTCGGCTGGCTCCGTTGATGAAACATAGCTCCTATTTATTTGCCACCCGGTCTTATTCTATTTGGTTTCCACTGGATAAGGGGCGTCTGGTTGGAGATGTGTGGTGCAGGTGCCGGTGTCCTGTGGCTCACATATGGAGACCGCAGTGGCAAGTAAATCCGGAATCGGATACAACCAAACATATATATATATATATAATGGCAAAGTTATAATATTAGGAATTGTATTAATATGGCTTACGGTTTGTATAATAGTCAGAACGATAACTTGAGCTTGGAATGTTCGAAATGCATTATCACCGAAATAGAGGCGACCTGACCTTGATCTATCGCATACTTACCGGTAAAATCGAACCCGATTTATCAGGGATTTTCCAAACGACTCGGTTTCCTTCTCTGACATAACTCTATGAAGCTACACAAACATCGATCTGGTGGAGTACGGGCGGAGTTTCGTTTATCAGGCAGAGTGGTGGATTCCTGGAATGCACTGCCAAAGAAAGTGGTACTGGCACCAAGGGTGAAAGAGTTCGAACACAGATTTGACGCCCTTGGCATTCAGATCTTAAGATTTCCCTTAAAAGCTTAGCTTATCAGCCCTAGTGAATTATTAAATATATTACTTTTTAGTTCTTAACGCTTTCACTATTTTATTACTTCTGGTTCTCATTTCAGGTGACCGGTACGGCATGGACTGCCAATGCAAGTCGCATAGGTATTAATTGGTTGACCGAGGTATGATTCGCGCGTTCTATCCTGACTCCTCTAAATACCAGTTATCACGGGCGAATAACACTCCGATCAATGACGCGACACGGTAAGAACATCTACGGGAAGTTATAGTACTGTTCCAGTCCCACTTGAACTTTAATTTGAAGTTTAAAATTTACCCGATTTGTCCTTGGAATACTCGGCAGAGAGTCGTCTCAAGTCGGATGTAGATGGGTCAGCACACAGCGCCCTCAATGCTACCTTAATTTCTGCAAGTTGTACCAATCCATTTCCGTCAGCGTCCAGAAAGTTGAATGCTTCGAAAATATCATCTTTTTGCTGCTGTGTAAGTTCCCATTTATAATCCAATTTAGAGCGAATATTGCGTTTCTTCACAAGTACATCATCTGTTTTATACTGCTGGACAACAATATTCAGCCAATATATGGACCTACATGCATTTTTAATCTGTGAGCCTACGCATGGAAAATGCTCTACTTCGGAAATTGTGATTTGCGGGAATGAGTAGGTAGCTAATACTGGTAAGACCTAAGGAATAGCATCAATAAAAACCTTAGATTTGAAACAGCAACAGTCATTGGTTATCATGTAGTTGCTGTTAATAATACGGTTAGTCTAATCCATTGCGTTGCATTATATCTAACAGTAAAGTAGTCAATTTCGCGCAACAAGAATAACAAAATATTGTAAATGTAAACGTAATTTTATATTACTTTTTGGGTAAGAAACTTTTGGACATTTTGCTTGGGTATTCCACACCAAAACATAACCGAAAATTGGAAGGCGCGCACTTTTGATTTTGCACATGCTTTAAAATCAAAATGGCGACATTTTTATACTAGTGTTATGCATCGTTGTTATAACAACAGCCAACAAAAAGATTAGTTGAGTGATGTTATGTATGTTGTTAACGCATACTTACTTCGCAGTTTAAGTTGCATGATGCTGGATTTTATTTCTTTGGCATGAACTCATTGTATTGGTGCTTGCAGTGGAATAAACTGCAGCTTTTCAGTTGGTCAAAAGATACGTAATTGGCTGATTCTCACGGAAATCTATTATGGGTTGCCTATCACTTTAACTTAGCATTTCCGTTTCCGGATTATTACAGTAGCTAGCTCCGGAATTCGAATGTTCAAAGCGACCAGGTCGAGTTTAAGTTCAGCAGGAAGTAGGACGGCTGGAGAATCTTATTATTTCCCCTTCCGGGAATGATCCTTTAGCAACATGTTGTTGGCGTGCTCCAAATACTTGAGGGAGCTGAAACGAAACACTGGTATTACACCCGAGTCACCCAATTAGTACCAAGTTGTTCACATTGACCGTCACTGTTATGTCAGTGGTGAGACGTAATGGTTTGTAGGAGTAATTATTATTAATAATGAAGTTGTTTCTTTGGTGAAGGAGCTAATATCAACGGTGCGAGTAGTACAGAAAATACCAAAGAGTCATTATGTGTGACAGGCAATAGGAATGAAAGAATTCACGTTTCAATCCAATCGCGCCTATACAACGCTCCAACCGGGTACACGTATAGTCGCCGATAGCATTTACTGGAAGCGTGTTCAAAGCTTTATGTCGGCGCGATACCTCGGTTTTTGCATTAGGATGATTAAACCACGATATGCTTAAGGATAACGGATAAATTGAACGGAGTATACGACGGAGGGTCATGCAGATTAATCCACTGATGTAAAATTCTGCAGGTAATTATTGGGTCCAAACCAATTTGCCGGAGGATCGTTCTCACACCACGAAGGTCGCCCAGTTGGAAGTGTACCTTTGCTCCCTTTAATGAGATGGCGAACACTGCTAAAACAATAACGAGTTAAGAAAAGTAACAAATTCACAGCATTTCTGACAACACGTGGTTGGCTGCATTCAGTTCCGGACTTGCCTCTCACTGTGGCCTCCACGATGAGGTGCACAGGCCGCTTGCGCCTACAAAGGGACCATGGCTGGCTTGCGCTGCATCATCCACAGTATTACCCTCACACTTCATATCCGGGGTCAATCCGAAGAAATAAAACTGGTTGGCATGTGGTTGGGAGCCTAGTTCAACAACGGAGCTGGCCCATACTCCCTCAACAAACAAAACAGAAGCATTCTCGCCCATTTTGGAACGCTTGCACACCATTCCTACACAAGGTGGATTCTGCGCCGTAGCCCATTACACAGGATGGAACCACTCTTTGTACTTAGTACCGTTTAAATATCGGTGCACCCCGCCCCTCTAGCAACGACCAACTCTCGCCTGGAGGCAGGCAGGGCATGGTAGTGGGCAACAGACAGGTAGACACCATGTCAACATGCACAATAAAGGCAGCCACACCGGGATGCTCTAATAACATCTCACCCCTACAATGCACGTACACGCAGCACGAAGGCCAACGTACCATAGCCGCAGCATACTTGGCCTGAATTAATAACTCGAATGGGTGCAAATGCTTAGCGCTTGTTTTGAGAGATATAGTGGACTCTCCTGCACCTGGGCAACCGCCCACTTAAGCAGCACACTAAATTGGCACAAATCAACTTCGCTTAGAATTTGCAACATCTTAAAACGACAGTAAACGGTCATACACTCACCTTGTTTATGTTCTGGTGATGTTTTCCGTTTGTCCCAGTGCTGCTTACCTGCGCCAAGTTGGCCGTACAAAAGCTGCATGAGTATCCTCTTTACATTCATTCGATATATATATATATATATATGAATTTTCAACATCCGTGTCCAGGAGCAGTTCGAATACATCTTACTCATGTTTTTGTCCGAACTTTATTATGAACTACCGCAAACTGGATATAGACCTATTAATCCTCATTAACAATAGTACTACCAACGTTCATGGGTTTCTTTTTGTGGTCAGGCTTGAAAGCGCGTAGGCCTGAACATGAATGTCAGCCTTAAATTTTGTACATCAATATTTGAACGGAACCGGTATAGGAATAGTGAAGTAAATATCATAAGTAGGGTTGCCTGGCGGAATGTTATATAACTGGTTCAGTAAAATAGTGTATACTTAGGCTTTGTCTCCTAGACCTACAGTTTCCGTAGCTGCTGGGGAGGTCACACAGTGCGTGAATGCGATGGAGTGTCCAATTCAGGCTCTCCGTGTCGCTGACCGGTCCGATCATCTGCTGTTCATGAGTCGTTTGAATTCTCAAAGAAGGAGCTTTGCGCAACCTTACGAAATGACCGGCGTCCATGCCATAAATTCGCCGCTTACGGCCTCGTTGGCATGATTACAACCGCAGTACTTCATTAAATAAGTCTTGCTGCCCAGGTTGTACATGCGTATATCGAAAGAATGTTTGCATTTGTTTCAATTTTCCACGACTTGGCATGGCTGTCATCCAAGTACGCAACCGCTCGCAAATGCCTGTGTACTTTGACATAGCCAAAAGCTATTTATAAAAAATAAATGAATAACTTCTCCGCCGGCAACTTATGTCTTGGGTGCAGCCATTCGTTGCTCCGGAAAACAATACTTGTCGCCATGCGTCGATTCATTTCCGATGTAACCTACTAAGACCCTAAAGTACTATTACCACCGGCCTGACCATTTTCTTAGTCTACCCAGCAGATGTACCATGCCCAACCCAATCTACTAAGTAGCGATACGCATTCGCCTTCAATCCGCATGTTACCTGCGTTTTCATAAGTGCAGACAAATTCAGTGTGACTTCTACAAAATGGAAGATATAACTACAATCACATCCGCGCTATCATGGAAAGCGGATCCTGGACAGTCGGCATTCTTTTACCAATGGGCAATTAATTGTCGGAATTGTGCATTTACCTCGGAGTTCCTAATGGGATTACTCGTAGGATGTGTGATCCAGCGCTGTCACAGGAGGGAAACTTGTTGAGTATGGTGTATAAAATTTAAACTACACTGTATGCTAGGGCACCAAGCTGAGCGCTGGCAACCATTGATTCAGGTGTATTCACCTTACAGGAAACATGCACAATAATTTGCCTCCTTTGCATAGACCCCTTTCAAACGACTCACTTCACTGGGAAATACCGCGCGTTACTACGATACAGCCCACGGCTAGCTTAGATATCTAACCTGCGACACCCCAGCACCCTAATTGTCGTACAAGCTGGTATTGTGCTGCTGGTCTAGCCAAGCAACCTCCTCGTGGAACGGGTGTAACACGTTCCTGCAATTAGTTCGGCGGCAGTGTTCCAGGAGATAGCGTGTTTCCGCCTGGCAATCGATCAACAATAAAAGCCACAACTGTCCGTTTATCAGCACTGTGCCGTGGCAAATATCTCTCGTCGCAAAACTAAAGGTAGTGTCCCGGGGACATCTGGCTTATTACATCCGAGCTCCGGACACCAACCTTCTATCCCTACATAACCGACGCTGTCAGTTACAAACACAACAGAACACCTACAAGCACAAGCAACAAAACTACACCGATGCAAATTACCATACACAACCATACACACAGGTACTGTTATGACGAGTATGTTGTATTATTTTGCAGTTCTGTTCACACTTTAGTATTCTAACCTGAGCACGTCTGTAAAAGCATGCCTCGCGTGGCCGTGAATAAAAAGTTTATTTATTTATTTATTTAGCTTTTTATGTCTCAAGGATCAAAATGAAGGTATCAATGGGGACAGTGGCAGTTGCGCATTCTGTTGAGCAATACAATGGAGCTTACATAGGAATGTGCAGCTCGGCCGCATAATAATATGAAAATGCCGTGGTTCACCGTCTCTGTAGGTCACTGTACTAGAATCCATTTAAGAAGGTAGCAATGGTATCATAGTGCACGTTGCATACCATAGTGTAGTGGGTAGCACGTGGAGTAATCGCTGAATACAACCTGGTTGACGTAGCTTAATAAAAGTTTGGTTAAGGGGGACTTCCAGCGAAAACAGGTGCAATAACGATCTTTAATAGTACCTAGCCATAAGTTAAGCAGTCTATAGTGCAACCGCATGCAAACGCAATTTATAAGAGCGATAGAATAAGGATGATGCAGAGATGACTGTGATGGAGTAAACAACTTTGTGAGTTGGCATGAAAATTTTGCGCCTAACTGCGCTGCTGTTCATAAGCTCAGATAAGTTAAGTCCCCGGTTCGAAAGAAGATTATGGCAATGCATAGTTTGATGACGTTAAAGCGGGTGGAGTAGTAATGGCCTCTCTTTGGAGTGCACTGTGGATGCTGTCTCCTAAATCCTCTACAGGCTATCTGTAGCTTAAGGCAGGCCAAAGCCAGCCAACTCGCATGTTTTCCGTGGTGAGCGCGAATTAACAGGTATGTAAAACCACCAGGCAGTCCGTCATTGTTACACATTGTACATCATATGTTTCCTCTAAATGTTAGACCATAGGATATAAATAATGCTTGTTTCCACGTCTGTTCTTTGCGGCCCTGTTTGTCTCTCACCTTCCCTTTCTCCGAGGTCTGGAACTTCTTGGGGATCTGGGATCGGAATGTGAAAGAGCTTGTGCCTGGGACAGGACATAGAAACCCCCAAGGACCTACATAGAACACG